TAAAAAAATGGTTACGAATATATGAATAGCCAATAATTAGAAGCAATTTTATTAAATCAGTAACGGCACTCTTTAATTAAATCATTGTTTTAATACTTGAGGGTAAATGTTATCTCATTAGTATACAATATATATGAGATAGACGTTAATTATGGAACTTGCTGGATTGGTGAATCCATATTCAAAATTTACTTGATTCAGAAATGTTGCTATTTAAGAAAACGTCCAATGAAATCAATTGCTTTAATATGAATTTGAGTGTATTAAAAGTATATCTAATATACTTTAAGAAACGGAACTTGTTTTGGGGATCGTATAAAAAAGCTACAAAACATATTGGATACAGAAATATCTATATTGAAAAATCGACTTGTTCACATGTATTTTCTTTTTCTTAGAAAATAGAATAACAATTTTTTTCCAGTGTATTTCAGTTCTTAAAATTCCAGAGTAATTGCGTTAAAAAACATAAATAGACATTGTAATCTAAAATTAATACTTTGGAGAAGAACGACAACAATTAAAACATAGAATAAAAATTAATCAAACATAAAATGGCACAATACATACTTTAAAAAACGCTTCTCCAATATTTTAAATAATAATAACTTTGAATATTTCAAAATCCGACGTAAAATCTATAAATGAGATAGGGAACTTGATAGAATAACAATTTGTTTTTACAAATAATGTATGCTCCAAAATAACTATTTTGCATCATTTTAATTAATGCATAGATATAGCCTATTTGATATAAAATCATGGTTGGGTAGTAAGTTTAAAAATATAATTATAATCAATGGGAACTAAGAAATGACTCATCAATTCTGCAAACCTTCATTTAATGTTAAAAATGTTTAAAATAGTTACTTTTGTCATGATATTTAAATAATTTATTGATATTAAATATTCCAAAAGACATTTTTACATACTTATAAAATTTCAATGATATCTCATGGTTCTGTTATAGTAATTTTTATACAAAAAGTATATATTTCATGATATTTAAAAACTAATATAATAAACATAAATATATTTTATGTACATCTTTTTGGAAGCAAGATAATCGTGTTGTGCTTATAAAAAGTTTAAACTGAGGTAACTTGTTGGTTCTTTAATACTTCAATAAATAAGAAAGTCACTGAAGTTATGCCCATGCGAAATTCTGATCTATCAAATTGAAAAATAGTTTGAAAACTGAAGGTTTTAACTTTATTTCTTATAAATGACAATAAAGTTCAAAGTATCCTTTTTACGAGCTACTTAATAACAAATTTAAGTGTCAGTTTCATCTACCCAGGTCCATCGACCTATATAATAACTGGATACTATATAGAGAAGAAAAAAATCAAACGATTTAAAGAGTACGTTTGGACGAATAGCAATTTTACAGGGCGGTTCAACTTTGTGTAGCAATTTCGAAAAAAAGGAAATCCTACAAAAAAATTGAGTGATTCACCCAATGTTACGCTTAATAAAAGAATAGTCTCTTTCACCACATCCCTGGATCTTATTTATATTTTTTTGGTTAAAAATTTTATATATATACAGAAAGCAGAGTAAAACTATTCATGGCAGTTGCAAAAAAAAGAACATTTTAGTTCACATTTACTACCCTGAAGAATAACCTAATAAAAAGGACGTATCATTTATTAAATTTGCTTAAAACTTCACGATGTTTTCTTAAGTCCTTTTGATAGCTTTCATGTAGAGCTTCAATCTTGCTGGCACATATTAATTATATGTATCACCAGCCCATTTCCACGTTGGCGCTCCTAAATCCGGGATTTGATGGAGAGAGCAGTGTAGCGAGCTGAAGCACCAATCATGATGGGACTTAGGTCTTCTTCGACTACGTAGGCATTTGTCGTATTTTTTCTTCTTCTTTTCTTTAGGACTTGGTATTTATACTTTGACTTCTCAAAGTATAACAATTATTATTTCCGTCTCTTCTATGTTTCTTCGACTCGAAGAATATATATTCTGTCAAAAAAGACACATAAAATGGCTCCCAACAGCTAACAAGTCGAGTATTTACCTTTCTTCTCTTATTGAGTCGTTTGTACATTCACTTAGTATATAGTACTTAGGTTCATGTATATATCAAGAGATCTTTTAGAGACAAAAAGGAGTAAAGAGCCTTGCTATTTAATTGCATTTTCGTCCTGAGCGGTTCATGTAAGGTTTTTTCATCCATAAGGACTTGAACCAAAACCTTTACAACTACTTAAAGATTCAATTATTTTATATACGAAACTAAATAAAGAAACCTCTCTCCTATGACATTTGTCATTATCAAGCCAAACATGACATGATGGAGGTCAATTAATTCAATAATAATGTCTTCCCTTGTCTGTTCAAAAGCCCTTAATTTGCAAGCATTAAGTTAAGCTCCAATATTGTCATCACTAATTAAACGTCAATCTGTCAATGGATCTTTAAGGGACCGACATAAGCATTTGCATAGTATTCAAATGTAAATTTAATTGGGCCATCTGGACACACATGAAGAAACTGATAATACATATGATTTCGTACATGTGTATCCCACAAAAATAGTATTGGTGTAGAATAATTAGGAAAAAATATATTTTGATATTCCCGAGTTATATATATATATATTTTTTTGTTAAGCGTAGATACATAGATCGTCTTTAATGGATGTATAATTGAGGTAAAAGTGTTTTAAGACGAAATATTTATTCATGTTATCAAACGATTTTGCATGTTTTTATTTATTTAGAAGCAGTTTCAAATATTTTATTCTGTCCTAATATGAGAATCACCAAAGGAATATACATGAGCGTGTTACTCGGATTTTTCAATAAGATTCCATATTATAATTTAGCTAATTATTTATTCCGGCCAATTAGTTATATTTTATAAATGAACACATGAAATATCTAAAAATAGTGAAGGCTTGTAACATAATTTACTTCTTAAGGTTTATACTTCTTATACTTAAGGATTATCTTGAATTTTCTTCAGTTTTGGCCGTAAATACGCTCCCAACTGCTATTTTGAGTGTTTTTTATATTCAGTAGGGTTGATTCTAGATGTGTTGTTTTATTTTTATTTGAATTGCTTGTTTTTTTTTGTAATTCATATTGTACAAACAATATTTTTGACCTTCTATAATTGATTTAGAAATCTAATTAAAATACTATAATGTTTATTTCTTTAATATGGAATTTTGCGGGAAATATAATGTTTTGTCGTAGAAAATATTAACAAGATATTGCGTTATCGGCCATAGCTCTTGATACAGAATAATATGAATACTTATAGAATAGTGCAATCAACTATAATGGTTCCTATAAATCATCGTCATTAAAGACATTAATTTGTTTTAAATTGGTATTAAAACAAAAAAAAGCCTTCAATTTATAACAATGAACATAAAGTAATAAGTCAATTATAACATCCCTTAAAAACCCTTACAGCTGAACACTCTAGAAAATCGTTTATAGGTACTTTTTTGTTTAACATTATCATGTTTTACTGAAGGGATCTTCATTTTTTAAGGAGCATTGGATCCTTAATGATGATTCTATGGGTGATTAGGATCAGATTCCTCGTTTTGAAAAAAGAGGAAGAAAAATAAACGGATTTGATGATAAATGTATCGAAGGAGCCAGGGTTGTTAATATCTCTGTCAGTAAAGGAGGTTCCTCATATATGAAGTCAATTAGGCTTTGGTGGAGGGTTTTCTTTTCCTTTTGAATCTAGAGCATGTCTTTATTTAAAGACAACTTTTAATAAGGGTATAAATGGTACAGGGTGCGGCATAGAATATCTGACTAATAAAGGTTGAACTATTCAATTCAAAAAGATCGATCAAGGGGGCAATCCTTAAGCAAAAGGCTCGTAACCTTAAAATAATGCTATGCTAAGCGTCTAAAATTTAAAAATTTGATTAGTGGGCTGATTCATTTGAGATGACTTTACTTCAGCAAAAGAGATGCCTTAAAGATTAGAAAATATGCAGCGGTAAAATAAAAGCTTTCCATCCAAATTTTGGTCAATTCATGATTTAATGGTTATAAATCTGGGTTCGTATAGGACGGATTGTGGTTTCGGATCAGTTAAGGGACCCCGTTGTAGACCATTGGAAGCATGAGTCACTCTTATCCAATTTGAAATGTATTAATTTCTTTTATGCGGTTATGTTATTTTGCCTTCATACATCATTAAAGAGCAAAATTACTCTCTAAAAACTGTAACATAACATAAAATACAAAAAAATCGATTTAATAATTAAAAATCGAGGATGACTCCTTATAACATTTAAGTGTTGTGCTGCCTGTGATGGCACATAGCGGCTTAGATCTGTATCCCATTTTATCATTAAGCGTTTACTTGAAATATTCATTTTTTATGAAGAACCTTGCCAAAAACTATATATCTTTTTCAATATTTATAAATAAAACAATGAATATGAATTTTGAACTCATTTCTTCAACTTAAACCACTCTCAAGTCCAAGGCATTAAGAACATCATGCATTTTAATGAATGCCTTTCATAATTGCAAGTTTGTTGCGGGGATCAAGAAGACATTGTGAGGTAAAAAAAACATGAAATTCCAACGGTATTGAATTTCAGTGGAGGGCTAAAGCTATACTCTATGGCGACGTATTGCTTAAAGACGGAAAATTGTACTAGTAAACATAACCATGAAAACTGACAATAGTTCAACCACTAGTAGCTTTTATAATTGGCTATATTTTGGTTTACATTGAATACATAAATCTATTTTGTATTGAATTTACTCATGAACTCAAACCTTTGTATGATAAAAAATTTAGTTGTTAATTAGAGATCATATTTTTATCAATATTTTTCATAAGATTTATAATGTGGGTTAAGAATTTGAAGAGTATTTATAAAATTGAGTTTATTAAGCTATAACTATTTATAGATCTTTAAAATATAAAGCATATTTTTATGATCTTGTAGGCTTTAACTATAACGGATATAATTGTAAACACAGAAAAATATTCGCAGCCGGCAGGGTTCGAACCTGCGCGGGGAGACCCATTGGATTTCAAGTCCAACGCCTTAACCACTCGGCCACGACTGCTTGTGTTGAAGAGGAAATGTTTTAAATATATTACATAAAATTTCTTATTTCAAATGTTAAAAGAGGAAGAACGATCAAGTAAAGACTCAAAATTACAATTCTTTAACTTTTGAGTGGCTTAGATTAAGATCAACATTTGATTTGATTGACACAGTTCAAATATTATAACACATATTTGTAACACAAGTTTAATACCAAGTTTAGGCATACTCTATGTAAAAATACTGATTTAATTTATACTTGCATCAAAATAAGTACCATTATGGTATTACAGAAATGAATTAAAGTAACTATATATACCAATGAAGAAACATATATTCAAGAACGAAGAAATTAAATACATTTATCTCATTCTTGCCCAGTTTTGAACTTAATATATCCAGTGACGAGGACTTATATAAAACTATAGCCTCCGTGGAATGATAAAACATAAAGAAGTTCAAATATTCTTGACATTCAAATGTTACGTATTGTTTCACAACATCAGACTAGTTATAATATTTCCGTTTGAATCGTCCTACTAGTTGTAAAGGCAGTTGACCAAATGTGTATTTTTTTGTGTCTGTAATTCTTGATTCTTGTCATAAAAATGAATATATTGTGTTTCTGCCAAATAAATGGAACTCAAATGGAAAGAAGTTCACAATAGTGAAAGCATGTAAACGTAAATTATGTTCAACGCAAAAGCAGCATTTATTATATACCCTATTTTTAGTATTTTTGTATCCATTACGATTAAATATGGTTATATATATATATATATATCAGGAAATGACCGGGACACTTTTTTTCGACAGGACCCGGGCCGGGCCGGAATTTAAATTTTTCAAGCCGGGCCAGGACTTCAGTATATTGTCGTTCCTCGCCATTCTGAAAGTGACGACGTTTTTTATAGAAAAAATCCAAACAAAAGTGACGACGTTCTTTTAGAAAAGAATTTCAAAAAAAGTGACGACGTTTTTTAGAAAAAAAGTTCCTACAAAAAAATCCTGGAAAAAAGTGACGACGTTTTTTATTAATAATTTCCTAAAAAATTCCAGCCCGGTAATCGATAGACACCGGGCCGGGACACAAAAAAACAGCCGGGATCCGGGCCGGGTACCCGGTCGTTTCCTGATATGTATGTATATATATAACACAATTATTTTGTATGTAACTATAATCAATAGCTTCAAAATGTTACATATAATAATATTGGCTGTGCTATGATTTAAGCTAACTTAGTTCATAAACATTCAAAATGTCTTACAATAAAATAAATAATGGTAGATTCATTACATTACTCTGATATAATATGTGGATCGATATCAGCTGACCCCATGCTCCATTATATCATTATTCCAATTCTTCTTCTTCATACTGGAATAATTTATAGCATCAAAAGGTTTTTTCCTCTTAAAACGGTCACAACTTGGAACTCATTTGTGCACTCAATTTATGGTCTCCTCTAATCCTAAAAGTCAAATCGAATAATATTTACGAGTGGATTTTAACTTTTGTATCCACACACATTAATTGTCATTTAATATTATTGAGGTTCCTTTTCGGACAATCATGACACGAGTTTTTTTTTCTCTTTCCTGAGAGCTAATCCAGGCTCAGGAAGCCAATATCATTTCCATTTTATGGCGTCGGAAACCATGCCAAAAAATGAATAGGGCTTCCATAATTCCTTGCTCCGAGGAATGCGGCCACAATGCCTTGCGACAGTAATTTATGATTAGGCGCATGCTTTATGTTGCAATGAAGTCATTTAAGGGGAGAAGGTAATAATTTTAGTATGTTCAAGGATTGAAAGACCTTAGAGAACTACTTCATTACAACACGGATTAGAGAGGATCTATATAATAACTGGATGTACAAGAGAAGCAATAAATGTAGATAAGAATGGAAGCCATTTTACTTATGTATATGACGAAAAAAGTGATAATATATACATATTTATGTAGACAATGATTTTTTAATACTTATCCCAGAGTCAAAGTATAAATTATTCCATCCAATGGGACAGCCTTTATAGGTTGATTAAGTCATTAAAGAACTCTCAATTCGAGCAAATTAGGCTTCTTGGCTTGATGAGTATCCATTTATTATATAGCTCGGTAGGTAGACATCTTCCGGTTATTTCCATATTAAGTAAAAGTACGGTGTAACTCTTATTTCAGTTTAATTTTTGGTCAACAAACAACTTTTTAACTCGAGGAAATTATTCAGTTATTGTATAGCTTGGTAGGTAGACCTCTTCCGTCTACTGTATGATTATGTTCAAATACAGTGGGGTTTTATCATGGATTATAGCAAACAAACATTCAAAAGTAATATGTGTTAATGAATTAATCATTTCTCTAACTTTTCCAAATAATACGTTTTGACAACTTTATAATTCATATCAGATTGAAATTGATATTTTATCTACATTTTATAGTAATATATCCTTTTGAAATATATAAATGCGTAATTACCAAACTAAAAGCTTTATTCAATATTTCACTTTGGTTAAAATATATTTATTATTGACATATATCATGGATATGTTCAAAATCTCTGATTCATATCTTATTTATTTTTATTAGTAGCTTTTTTCGCTTTTTCAATAATTGTTATATTATATGTTTCATAGTTAATACAACTGATTATGGCATTATTATACTTTTTTATTTGCTTATTCGCATTTTATAGCGAACTCATTTGAAATGTATGAATGCTTTGAATGAAAGAGTTCAATATTAATCATTATTCAAATACATGTTAACTACTGCGATTACTTTAATACCGGAAAAATAATACAGTTTGAAGCAAAGTATATTTAAAAATATGTTACTATTATTATTGTTAACATTTATATATCATATATATGACCTCCCAATATCAAAGATGGACCAGCATTAATAGTTAAAATTATTTTAACAACTCCTTCATCTGTTTTTCTGTTTCAACCCTCTTGTCCACGTCTATGATTTCCTTATAAGATATTTTTTTCGATATCTTCTTCATCTAATATCTTGATAGATGTTAATAAATTTTAAAATTAATATAAAATGGAAATTTTATGATAAAAATATTTGATTAATTCGTAATCTTTGAATGGCGTCGGAAATATGGAATTTAAGAGCAAATTTAGAAACATATACGGCCAAAGAGTTGTTGCTTTACGCTTTTCCGACGTGATTTTTGACAGTACCTAATCATGGGCACGCACAAATTATTTTTAATATTCTTCGAACACATTAAGAGATTATTCATAACTTTTTAATCCAGAATTTCTCAGTATTTATATTATTTATTAAAAGTAAACTTCTTACTAATAATCATTATTTCTTTATAAATAAGAAATGGTTTCAGTTTATTTCAATCAACATATGAATCTAAAAGAATGGTAACAATAAAATTAATTGCATAAACAGTAAAAATTTAGATCTTCTATCGTTTGCGGCGTCGGTTATAATGTTCATTATAAATACCAATGGAATCAAAATGGCATTCAAGTTTATCTTATGAAACGTATGACTTCATAATGAAAAACTTATTTAATAGAGTTTATAATAATAACACTCACAATAAAATGTTCGCTCACAAAATATGTATTTTTCTGTAAATGAGACTTTAACGCACAGAAAAACAACGTCGCATTTCATTTTATACACATTATCCGTAATATCCTTCATATTACATCAATCGGATATAAAGTCTAACACAGATATGTATTTTATATCCCACTGGATACTATTCCATTGAATATATATTTTCATTTATAAATGAAAACATAAACATTTCTAAGAAAATATTCCTTATAATTCTCATTTTAAAGCTGGCCTTAACATATTTACCAATTGTTTGTAGTAGTATTGATGTGTATTATAAACAAAGTTTTTTTCGTCACCTTGTCTAAGTATTATTCAAAGTAAGTTTTGTGGTTAACAATAATTATGGTTTAGGTATTAATATTTCACAACTAATATATGGGACCTTGGGATCTTTACTTCCTTTTTAGGGCTTTAATTCATTTAATTCCCAAATCAAGAGCTTATATTTATTTTTTTATTGTATATCTAATTTCGCAGGAAAATATTATTTTTACTAAAAAAAAGATTATTTGATATAGAAATTTGAGCATGTTTTGCATTATACACTTTGTCTGTGTGTGTGTGTGTCTTCATTCCTTACGTGTTTGGCCTCAGGGTGAGATGGGATTTTTAAAATAAAATATTGAAACAGTTTAATCTTATTTTCTCTAAGCAAATAATAGAGAAGATTAGTTTCTTTTACTTTTTCTTCTATAAGAGAAGATATTCTAATAGGAATATATACCATAGTTCACAATTGCAACGCTAATAAGACTTTAGTAGAAATTAAAATCGTAGATGCGTTATGTTAGAAAAATAAGTTTCCTTATGTGGAGAATTAGCAAATTTCATAGGTTTTTTTTGCAGGCCAACTTGATCATCAAAATCCCTTTGTAGAGGAAATCAGGCGTATCAGGTTCTTTGTGTATGTGTCATTCCGAGTACTCACAAAAGTAACAGTATTATGCTTTAATCATTATAAATATTAAGTTAAAAATGAATATTTTCTGATAATATACCTTATTATTTGTTTCTGGCTATATTTTTATTCATTTGGTTATCTAAAAAACGTATAAAATAATTCAAAACAAACAGATAACAAAAATATATAAAATAGTTTATACGGTTGTGTTTTTACAATTATACATCATTAAAGAGCAAATTTACGGTCTAAAAACTGTAACATTTAATAATACAAAAAAAAACATTTATTACTTAAAAATCGAGGATGACTCCTTCAAAACCTCTTTATAACATTTATGTGTTGCGCTGCCCGTGATGACACATAGCGGTTTAGATCTCTAGCCCATTTATCATATAAGTTACTTTAAATATAATTCATTTTTATGAAGAACTTTGCCGAAACTATAATATCTTTTTTGTTATTCATAATAAGATCAATGAATATTAATTTTGAACTAATTCCTCATTTTTTCA